TTCCTATTTTACCCTTGTATTTTGGGGTATTTTAGTCATAGGATTTATTTTCTTTGTATTTCCTATTTTACCCTTGTATTATGGGGTGCTTTAGATGATTAGGTTTTTAATTTGGGCTAGGGTATTACACTAGAAGGGTGACGCATTTTTGGTGAGTTTTGGATCTATTTTTGGTGATAGAAAGGCTTAGGCCCAAGTGGAGGGCAAAGGTTGCATGATCATATCATACACCTTGATGTAGCCAATCTAGACCCATAGATTCCAAACTTGGTCACCAAGTAGCATCTAGGGTTCATTTGGCATGTCATTTGGAGTGCATTTACCTTATGAATTTCGGCCATGCACACTCCAAATGCAACCCTAGATGCCTCCCCTCCTATAAATACCCAACACCCCACCACATGTAAATACTTTGGAATATATGAATTTGAGTGAGCCTTTTTGTGCCTCAAATCCTCTCCTTAGTCACTAGGTTACCTTTGGCTAACCTTCTCCTATCTCCACCATTGGAGAGTGAGAACCCTAGAGTGGCCTCCATTTACCTTTGGAGTGAGCCAACCGTGAGCAACCAAACACCTTTCACCATATGCTTCCGCCACCCTAAACACTATCTCTCACCTAGCTTCCTTTTTCCACCATAAACCTCCCTTTTTCCTACCTTTGATGAGCCTAGATCAAGGGCAAGGAGTCTCCTTTCAACTATTGTCATCACCCATGGAAGGAACTACTCCATCATGCTCCCTACAAAAACTATCCATTTCAGCCCACGAATTCAGTAGAGATGAGCAACAAAGCACATCATCCTTAACCCACTTATACGCATCTCCATAACTTATGACCTCCATGGTATAAACAAACTTGAACTAAAAGGGGGAACTAAAGGTCCTCTATAATCAAGAAAGGCCAAAGAGGGGTTAGATAGGCGTACCTAAAGACACAAAAACGACTCTTTTTCACTCAACAAACGCCACCAAAACGCCGAACACCACCGCGCACCACCGTAGTTCAAAACGGAGCAGAGATCCTCACCGGAGAAGAGAATGCAGATAAAAAAAAAAGAAAGGCAAAGGAATTACAAAAGATGAAGGCTACCCCTATTTATAAGAGGCCAAAGGTCGCGCATGGGGGGGGGGAGACCAAAGGGTCGCAGCGCGTGTGGAACGTTGCAACCCTTAACCCAAGGGACAAAAAAGGGGGGTGGGGGCCACACCATTATCTTTAGCAACACGTTTGGCCACGTGGCACAGTCATTATTCGCACCCCTGCAGCGCCGATTTTGTAATAAATGCACGTCCTTTCTCGAGAAAGGTGAAAAGACACCCCCTTTCAGGCTTTGGGAAATCACGGTCTCACGTGATGAGTTGAGTCTCGCCTTACCCTCGGCGATAGGACGTTAACAACCCTCCACTCGGCAAATACCCGACTAGACTGCTAGGTCCTAAGCCCTCTCGCCTTGCAGGCTCAGGGCTGGAAGGCAAGTGTACCATCCAGGTCGTAGTCCGACTTGATCTCTTTCCCGGCGATAGGATGTTAACAACCATCTACTCGGCAAATACCCGACCAGGTGGCCAGGCCTTAAGCCCTATCGCCTTATAGGCTCAGGGCTGAAAGGCAAGTGTACCGTCCAGGTCGCCATCCGACCTGGTTTTCCATTCGGAAATAAGGCGAGCAGAATCTCTTTCTCGGCATTAACCCGACTGGGGGTCCAGTACAGACCTAGTCGGTCATAGCCCGACTTGATCTGCTAAGCTCGGTTCCTCTCGCCTACAAGGGAACTACTCGGCACTTATCTTGCTGGACCCTCGGTATGGGCCCAGTCGGTCGGATTCCGACTAAGCTTGTTCCCGCTAACCCCGCGTCATCGTGATAAGAACGGTTAGGGATATCCCTCGATCCTCGGGGCCCAAGAGGCCCATGAACAACGTACTATAAAACCCAAAACCCTAGAGCTAAGGAGGCAAATCACACTTTTGAATGCTCTGGCTTTGAGGCTTGACCTAGGAAAAAACCCTAGTGCACCCTTTGGTCGGAACAATAATCATAAAAATATTTTATACATTAATTTGAATAAATGAAAAAAAGTATTATATAATTTACAAATTTTTTAAAAATTTGCAAACTTGATTTATATATTAAATTTTTTTAATTCAACGATTATATCATTAAAATTTGATGTAAAACATAAATTATTAAGTATTATAAATGTAGGTAGATTTAATCTTAAAATATGTGGATCTCTCCTCATAAATAAATAAATAAATAAATAAATAATGAGCCTAGATCAAGGGCAAGGAGTCTCCTTTCAACTATTGTCATCACCCATGGAAGGAACTACTCCATCATGCTCCCTACAAAAACTATCCATTTCAGCCCACGAATTCAGTAGAGATGAGCAACAAAGCACATCATCCTTAACCCACTTATACGCATCTCCATAACTTATGACCTCCATGGTATAAACAAACTTGAACTAAAAGGGGGAACTAAAGGTCCTCTATAATCAAGAAAGGCCAAAGAGGGGTTAGATAGGCGTACCTAAAGACACAAAAACGACTCTTTTTCACTCAACAAACGCCACCAAAACGCCGAACACCACCGCGCACCACCGTAGTTCAAAACGGAGCAGAGATCCTCACCGGAGAAGAGAATGCAGATAAAAAAAAAAGAAAGGCAAAGGAATTACAAAAGATGAAGGCTACCCCTATTTATAAGAGGCCAAAGGTCGCGCATGGGGGGGGGGAGACCAAAGGGTCGCAGCGCGTGTGGAACGTTGCAACCCTTAACCCAAGGGACAAAAAAGGGGGGTGGGGGCCACACCATTATCTTTAGCAACACGTTTGGCCACGTGGCACAGTCATTATTCGCACCCCTGCAGCGCCGATTTTGTAATAAATGCACGTCCTTTCTCGAGAAAGGTGAAAAGACACCCCCTTTCAGGCTTTGGGAAATCACGGTCTCACGTGATGAGTTGAGTCTCGCCTTACCCTCGGCGATAGGACGTTAACAACCCTCCACTCGGCAAATACCCGACTAGACTGCTAGGTCCTAAGCCCTCTCGCCTTGCAGGCTCAGGGCTGGAAGGCAAGTGTACCATCCAGGTCGTAGTCCGACTTGATCTCTTTCCCGGCGATAGGATGTTAACAACCATCTACTCGGCAAATACCCGACCAGGTGGCCAGGCCTTAAGCCCTATCGCCTTATAGGCTCAGGGCTGAAAGGCAAGTGTACCGTCCAGGTCGCCATCCGACCTGGTTTTCCATTCGGAAATAAGGCGAGCAGAATCTCTTTCTCGGCATTAACCCGACTGGGGGTCCAGTACAGACCTAGTCGGTCATAGCCCGACTTGATCTGCTAAGCTCGGTTCCTCTCGCCTACAAGGGAACTACTCGACACTTATCTTGCTGGACCCTCGGTATGGGCCCAGTCGGTCGGATTCCGACTAAGCTTGTTCCCGCTAACCCCGCGTCATCGTGATAAGAACGGTTAGGGATATCCCTCGATCCTCGGGGCCCAAGAGGCCCATGAACAACGTACTATAAAACCCAAAACCCTAGAGCTAAGGAGGCAAATCACACTTTTGAATGCTCTGGCTTTGAGGCTTGACCTAGGAAAAAACCCTAGTGCACCCTTTGGTCGGAACAATAATCATAAAAATATTTTATACATTAATTTGAATAAATGAAAAAAAGTATTATATAATTTACAAATTTTTTAAAAATTTGCAAACTTGATTTATATATTAAATTTTTTTAATTCAACGATTATATCATTAAAATTTGATGTAAAACATAAATTATTAAGTATTATAAATGTAGGTAGATTTAATCTTAAAATATGTGGATCTCTCCTCATAAATAAATAAATAAATAAATAAATAAATATTAATATTAATATTGTGGAAAGGAAAATAATTGTGGTATATATATATATATATATTCTTTATCTTTGATTTGGTGTCAAGTAGGGTGTTAAAATACATTCTCCATAATGGAAATGACAACCCGTGGAATAATTTTGTACCACTCATATCCCATCAAGTCATCAGCTACGAAGAATATATATAGTACCGTTTATTGACCGAAGCATGGTCATCTTAATTGACCAAGTCATCCTAATGTCGATTAACACATTCGGTAAATTTTCTAGTCTATTTCCACTACATAAAATTCTAAGGAATCTAAGTTGCAGAATTCTCGTCTAATCGTCGGTTGACTACGAGATCTTTTCGAGAGAAAATAGTGCATATCTCTGGCAGAATATAGGACTCTAAGCTACAAAAAACTAAAGCATCACAATGCATGTGTGTGAATATGCTAAGCCTCCAGAAACACTATCTTCACTCATTTCCCTCGCTACCCTTCTACCTCGTAGTATGCCTCTGGCCACTACACGTGATGGCAACAGCTAGGGAGGTTATGATACCAATAGGGGTACTTCTTGATTTGAACTCTCCAATTGGAAGCATGGCTAATAGCTGCATATGGATCGCATATCATGATTTCTATGAGCAGCATCCTGGCTTTCGAACCAGACTTGATCTTCGAACAAGAGACTCTGACCGTGATACAGTCACAGCAGCATATGCAGGTTATTAATAATTTCATCATTTTCTTTGCACCTCTCAATTCCCCGTCTTTGTATTAGAATGTTTTAGATAAATTTCTCAAAGAATACTTATAAATTTAAAATAATTTTGCTTTCCGTGTAGAAAGCTCACATTGTTTTGTAGTCAAAAGGTTATTTATAATAATCCATCTAAACATCTTTACAATAACAAAATTGTGACGCAGGCGTCAAAGTATATAATATTCTAGATAGGGTATCCTATAAACACTACTTGAACCCCACCTGAAGACCGATATATAGCGTGATTATTTTACCATTTGAATATCATTCAACGAATTTTTTACACTTTTCAAAGCAGAAAAGTAGAAGTAAGGAAAGGGATGAATTACCATTCAGTTTCATTTAACGTGAAAACAAACACGTTAATAATGGTTGAAATATAAACTATAAAGTTTATCTAAGCATCTGCTTAATTTAATTCCCAATTTACATGATTATTCATGGTGGATTTGCTGCTATATTTTGTGTCTGTAGCCTCTGATTTAATAAGTAAGGAAAAGGTAAAAGCAATTATTGGGCCTCAAACATCTGAACAAGCAAGGTTTGTGATAAATCTTGGGCGCGAACATAACATCCCCATTATCTCATTCTCCGCCACGAGTCCATCTCTCTCCGCAACCCGCACTCGCATGTTCATACGCACAGCACCAAACGATTCCTCTCAGGTGAAAGCCATAGCAGCCATTGCGGAATCATATGGCTGGCGCGAACTCATCATCGTATACGAAAACACCGAATACGGAAACGGCCTCGTCCCACATCTCGTTGATGCCTTGGAGGCAGTTGACACAAAAGTGCCTTTCAGAAGCGTCATCGACCCCAACTCCGACGAGTCCCACATCGTGGAGGAGCTCGAAAGGCTCAAGCAAAAGTCAATAAGAGTGTTTCTCGTTCACATGAGGGGTGAACACGGGTCGAGACTCTTTTCGGCGGCGGAGAAAGTTGGGATGATGAGCGAAGGGTACGGTTGGGTGGTGACACAAGGCTTGTCCTCGCAGTTAGATCCTTCGGGTTCGGAGAGAGTGGAGAACATGCAAGGTGTCTTGGGAGTAAGGCCGAAAGTGAGAAAAAGTGAAAAACTCGAGGACTTTAAGAAGAGATGGAAAGCTTTGTCGGTTAAGGGACATGAAGAGATCAATATCAATAGCATGACATTGTTCGGGTTGTGGGCTTATGATACGATGTGGGCCTTAGCCATGGCTGCGGAAAATGCAAGCGGTTGTGGGTCCCTTGTGAGCGCAATCATGGCTACGAAATTCGAGGGCGTTTCTGGTGATTTTGATTTGAAGGGAGGGGAGTTAGAGGCTTCGGTGGTTGAAGTGTTCAATGTGGTGGGACATAAAGAGAGGGTGATTGGGTATTGGAGCAATGAAAGAGGACTATTCCGTGAGGACCCACCGAATGTTACGCAAGGGAAACAGATACTGAAGCAACCGGTTTGGCCCGGTTACACCACGGATGAGCCACCCATGTTGAGATTTGGGGTACCCGTCAGAAAGGGTTTCACTGAGTTTGTGAAAGTCGAAAGGGTCTTTCCCTCTAACGCCACCAAGATTTCTGGGTTCGTTGTTGATGTGTTTTTAGAGGCTGTGAAGGCTTTGCCTTTCCCCATTTCGTACGAATTCATCCCCTTGGATAACTATGAGGCACTTGGTGGGTCTCATGGAGACAAAAATTCCAGGGTAAGTTTTGCTTGCAATTGTTCTTTACTCTCTATTTTACTTTCTTTCCTATATGTTTAATTTTGGAGGACACAAATTATACCTTAACTAACATGTAATTTAATTCTTGTAGGAGTTCGATGCCGGAGTTGGAGACGTATCAATAGTTTATTATAGGACAAATTATTTCGATTTCACGTTGCCTTATTTAGAATCAGGGGTCTCAATGGTGGTTTCAATGAAACATGATCAGAGACGAAACATGTGGATATTCTTGAAGCCTCTAAGTTGGGGTCTTTGGTTGACTACTGGTGCCGCCTTAGTCCTCACTGGTTTCGTTGTGTGGTTTCTAGAGCACCGCTCAAACGCAGCCTTTAGTGGGACCCCAGACCAACAACTTGGCATTGTTTTTTGGTTTTCCTTCTCAACACTTGTCTTTGCTCATCGTGCGTAAATCCTCTTACCCACCAACTCCTTCATTTTTATGACCATGATTACTTTGTTGCCCTTTAGTTTCAAAGGGTTTTGGTACCCTTTCTTAATTTAGAGATTGTATCTAGTTTGATTTATTTATTATGTTTGACTATGCAGGGGAAAGATTAGTGAGTAACTGGTCGAGATTTGTGCTTATTGTATGGGTATTTGTAGTGCTCATCATCACCCAGAGTTACACTGCCAGTTTAGCGTCAATGCTAACAATAGAAAGCCTCCGACCAGAATTCATTGACATTAAAGAGATAAAAAGGAATAATTACTTTGTGGGGTATCAGAACCAATCCTTTGTGAAAACCATTTTAATAAACCAATTAGGATTCAGTGAGTCCCGACTGAAGGCTTATAATACTCCTGAAGAGTATCATGAAGCACTTTCAAAAGGGACCAACAATGGCGGGGTAGCAGCTATATTTGATGAAACTCCCTACATCAACGTTTTTCTCTCAAAATATGACGTTGGATATGCTGTGGTGGGACCGATTTATAAAACAAACGGATTTGCCTTTGTGAGTCTCTTTCTCTCGCTCTGCATTATAATTCAGATACTTTCTTCTTACAGCATTTCTTTATAATTGTTGGCACTTAGAAAATTATTGACGGTCGATTAGTTGACACTAGCAAGAACATTCTACATCTATTGTAGGACTGACATAGATTTTGCAGAAATAGAATAAAAATAACTTTCTACATCGGTTAAAATTAACCAATGTAGAAGTATGTTCCTTCGTACTCCCCCAACCCCTTCCATGTCACTGGCCCCATTCTAACTCCCTCCTCCACGAGAAGGCCTTTGTCGCGCCCACATGTAACTTGTGTTGAAACAGAGACTTGGTGAAGTTAGGGGGGAGTTGAGCGTAATCAAAATTTAAGTGTTTATTTTTACATGGATTATTTGTATCACCAGTGTAAAATTTTACATTGTTCATTTCGTAACTGATATAAAGATTTCAAAAAAATTGCAAAATTTTCACTATCTTTCTTAACATTGATTGTGTAAGAATCAATGCAAAATGATGTTGTAAAATGAATTTTTTCTACAATTAGATCATTTTCTACAAGATTAGCTACGAAAACACCATGTGTTGAAGTTTCATATTTTTACCATCTCGGATATAATCCGAGATGGTCATGCCTAGAGGGTGACAGTCGAGGGGGTATAGTAGAGTACACTGGATGTTGAGGTGAGTAGGAGAAAATCGACACAAGATGGCCGATTACCTAAGTGGGCATGTCTCTCATATGTTGAACAACCTGATCTCTAAGCAAAGTCGAAAAAAATATGATTGTGATTTATATGTGGAATAAAATCTTATCTTTATCATCCAAAATCTCACAAACAGATAACTATATTGTCAAATCCCAAAAATCTCGGGACCCATGAACCCATTATAATGAATCATAAAAATCCTAATCCTAGGATAGAGATAAACAGATTACACTCTTGAATACTTTGATTTTGGTGGCTCACCTAAAATAAACCCTAGATGTCCCCAGATCGAAACAATATTGTTTCTCAATATAGAAGAATCAATTATTGAAACTTTGATTTAGCATTAACTGGTGTGAAACTCAATTACTTATGGATTTTAGATAAAAATAAATTTAGTTGAATAAAGATAAATCTTATTCAACAAGGTTAAAGGGATATCACTAAAATGTTTATAATATTTTTAAATATTAGATATTTGATGTGGTATTTAAATTTGATAAAAGAGTATGTTCCTTAAAAATAGAAAGTGATTACCAATTTTGTTTTACTTTCAAAATTTGAAATGCATATCTACAAGCCTTTGAAAGATGGAATTCGTACCAAGATTTTAGGACCAAATACAAGCAAGTACCAAAGAACAACAATATACAATATTGGGCGTCTAGAAACAAAGAAAAACAAAGAAAGAAAACAATAAAGGACATTATTGTCCAAAATAAGCAATATAAAAGGAAGAAATAAGATAGATCATCAAATAAAGAAATTGTTCTTGGAGAAAGGAATTTGAGGTTTCGTCCACTTCACCCAATAGAGGAAGAATTATATCCCTCTATTGATGAACTTCAATATGTAGTAAATATCAAGCTATATCCATGTTGAACAAACAACTACTTATTCCTCCTTTACAGCATGTTGGAGAGGCTACGGAAATTCTTCTTGACAAGGTAACTTTAGGGCTACCCATACTTGACCTAAATAAGCACAAAATTGAGAAAGTTATCCACTCCATCCAAGGTGGAACTTCAAAAGTTCCATTAGATGTTCTAGCAAGCATACATGAAAAGAAGACTAAGTCAAGACTTAGCTGAAGTTAATTGTGGATTTAGGTATTGAACAACACCTGGTGGTTTCTTACATCTAAATAGTTTGTGAACCACATTTTTGGAAATATTTCTCACAATGTTAGGTCCCAAATCTCATCGAGAAGGGGGGTTGAGCGGGTAGAATTTCATATTTCATTTATTTAAGGATTTGACATTCTAACTTGATATGCCTTATTTTCTTGCACTCGTAGCACATACGAATTCAAAATTTTATTCTTTAATAAGTGTTTTCTTTCCTTTTGATCCTTTGGAAGTTGTCTTCCTTTGTCATTTTTTTCTTGCATCATTTTTTTATTCATTTAGAAATAAGATGAATATGATGTTTAGTCGTTGATTTTTTATTTTTATTTTATGTTTATTCATTTTTCTCATTATTCTTACTTTGCTTTTGTCACTTTAAAAGAAGAAACTTTCTTTTGACTTTAACACAATAGACTTTTCACCTTTGCAATTGTTGGTATTTTGAGTGATAAACTTGCTTTTCTTATTTTCATTTACTTGATTTAGATAATGTTCATCACAAATTCTTAAAGAAAAAAGAAGTTCATTAATCTTTAAATTGCTTAAGTTTATCAATTTTTGTATTATCTCATGTTTACTAACCTTCACATTTACCCCAATTGGTATCAAAACTTATTCTTCTTATTTACTCAACACATTTAACAATGCATGAGAAAAAGATTTAGAAAGAAATGCTTCCCAATCAAGGTTATAGAATGTTAATTCCAAAATGACTCTTAACAAAGAAACCATCTACACTTGATGGTACAAATAATAATAATAATAATAATAATAATTATTATTATTATTATTATTATTATTATTATGTTGTTGTTGTTATATTATTTAAAAGCATGTAATGTATAATGATGGATTAATTTAAGTATTCATATATTTTTTTTATTCTTTTCAAAATCAAAAATCTATAAAGAGAAATAAATTAGATTAAAATCAATTGGATTTGATTATAGAATTAAACTAATTAAATAGTTAAAATAAAATAAATCAAAATGATTGGATCAAATGAATTTTTTTCCTCAGAATTAATCTAATCCATATGCACCATTGTTGGAGATCTATCATTCATATGATTATTTACATAATTACTTTTACCATGTATATGAGAGACTACAATCAATATAATGTTACAACTAATTAGTATCAATTAAGGTAATGTTTGATTCAATCAACTTAAATTACAATTATTTTAAATATTGATATATCATTATAATTTTCATTATTCACCCAATAAATACACCTTACAGTATGATGAAAACGTGTCAAATGAGTTAAGATAATCAACTTTTAAATTTTTTCAAATGACAATCTTTTTCTCTAATGACTATATAGCTCCCTTATTATGAATATGATTAATCTTTGTTTTTTTAACATAATAGTAAAATTAAAATATATTATTTTTTGTTTCTATTTTATAACTCTTGGCATTTAAAACCAATCTCATTTTACATTTATATATCATTACTTGTCTCACTTTTTGATATCTTAAATATAATATTAAAATAGGAATATGTATTCAAATTTCAATTGTCACGGTGAGATTATTTATTTTAAAAAAGTGTTACACTCTTTTGTTTTTCAGGCATTTCATCGAAAATCACCTCTTGTGTCATATTTTTCGAGGGCTATCCTAAATATCATAGAAGATAGAGACAAGTTTGAAGGAATTAAGAATAAGTATTTCTTAACAAGAATTGTCCCCAAAGATCAAAGTGCCTCAACTGCAGACAGTCCAAGTCTTACGGTTAAGAGCTTTGCTGGTCTTTTCATTGTCACGATCATTACCTCATTTCTATCATTCTTATTTTATGTGTTTAGTTTTTTATACTCTCAACGATCTACTCTGAGAAGCATTAATTATGAACAAACATCATTTTGGTCATTAGTGGTTCACATTGTAAAGCATTTTGATCGAAAACATAATTCTTTTCATCCTACAATGGATAGAAGTCAATCTAGAGTACAACCAACAAGAAGTCTAGAGACCACTTATCATTCTAATGTTGTTACTTTAAATGAAGACACTTATTCAATGTAGAAAATGACTTGATCATATATTTATTGTAAATTGAAATATTGAAAACTATGTTCATATGTTTATTGATTTTGTCTGTTCTTACATATCTATCATTTTCTTTTAGTAATATCAAAGTAAAACACAACATTCTTTTTTCTATAATATGTACATTAGTGGTCAAATACTTATGTCTTGGATATGAAATTTGAAGATGAAATAAACACACAAAAGGGGGTGAAGTTGGTTGAATGAGTGTGTGTAGGTTTTTAAAACATTCCATAGATGAAAAATTATAAGTTCTTATAACCTTTCATCTTATAAACATGAGTGATGACATCATGCCTAGAAGCCAAGTCCTAAAGGAACCAAAAGGAGTGAGCTAAGCTTGAAGGAAGAAGGCCTAAGCACTTATTAAGCTTTAGGCTATCTTAGTAGTTTACTTTCCCTTCTTTGTATATATTTTTTGTAACGATCCGCAATGGCCGTCATACTACGGAACAACACTACACACTACTGAAATACATACTAAAATAATATAATAAAAATAATTACAATACAAGTTGCTAATTAAGCAATCAACAACAACCAATTATATACAACAAAATATGCTACTATAAGGTAGCCTACAAAACAAAATCCAACTCCAGGCACTTCCTATGGCCTTTAGCAGCTATCTCCCAGCCTATTCCTGCCTTGCTCCCATACATCGTATGATCATCGCAGTCCAAATTACATGGAAACATGCAAGGGTAAGCTAGAGACAATAAACAACTTATAATAATTAAATATGTAACACACCAACTATATAATCATCTTCACATCCAACATAGAAGACGACAACACATATACTATACATCTTCACATCATTTCAACTTGATTCAACATATCAACACTATAGCAACACTTCAACGCAACTACTATACAAACCATTGGAATAGTTACCATATTCATCATAACAATAACCAACACATGTATTGCACACCTCTCAACAACACATGTTTAAAAGCAACTTACAACACAGGTAATCTAGCATCCTCATCAACTTGTATACAAATAAGCAACTTATAACATAACAACACTATCATCATCCTCAACAAGGTCAACATACAACACAATCATAGCTTAACAACACAACAACATATATATAACTCATATCAACATCAATTAAACACATCAATAGCTTATGCATCGTCACGCATTTCAACCTGGAGATCTCCTACAACATGGGTGAGCAGTCTAAGTGGCTAGGTCCTACCGAATCGACAGTAAATAACCTTTTTGGATTTGCTAGGTAAATAACAAATTTGGATACCAATCCACAACACTCTAACGATTTCTCAGATTTTTTCACTTAAACAAGGAAGTATAGTACTATGTCAGGATAGAACAACTGGGTTTAGGCCTACCACGCCATTAGCTAGCTCAACTAAGCCATCTATGGGATTATCCTACCAACAATCCCCCAAATACTACAACCCTCCGATACTCGATTAGGAACTAAGTTCTCGACTTCGTACTTTACTCAAATTGGCCGCTTGTAATCGGTATAGCTCGACCTGGCCCTTATATCGTGGTTGCTTTGTACACGTGTGCCTCGACCTTGCCCACACACAGGACCAACTAAGTCCTAGAGGAGAACAACACAATGTCCACTCCAAGGGACAACTTCCCAAGGAAAGTTTTCAACAAATTGGGCTCTCTGAGCACCACAACTTTCTCAATCCACACAATGAGATGAGCAACTTCGAAAACATCTCCCCTAGTCCTAGTGATCAACAACTCATCATCACAGCTTAATCAGCTTACAACTCAACAGCACAGCTGAACTCAACAACTTAAACAACATGATCAACTCAACAACATAGCTTAGTTCAACAACTTAAACAGCATAATCAACTCAACAACACAACTTAGTTCAACAACTTAAACAACATAATCAACTCAACAACATAACTCAGCTCAACAACTTAAACAACATGATTAACTCAACAACACAGCTCAGTTCAACAACTTAAACAACATAATCGAATCAATAACACAGCTTAGTTCAACAACTTAAACAACATGATTAACTCAACAACATAGCTTAGTTCAACAACTTAAACAACATAATCAACTCTACAACACAGCTTAGCTCAACAACTTGAACAACATAGCTTAATGGCTCAACTCCTAATCTACAACTCAATCATCATAAAATAATATCTTTCAACACATAGTACAACATACAACTTTATAACAATATACAACTTTCCTCTAACAACTTAGGAACAAAATCTACTAATAACTTCTATATAAATCTCAACACCTCTACACACTTCACATCATGCTTCTCACAATATTATCATCATGCACTTCACAACTTTCAACTATATCATCTCATCATATTTCACAACATAATTAGCCAACTCATAACATAAAACAACTTTAATCACTTAACTTCAACATGCTTCAACAATATCATCAATTCAACATATAATAGATCAACAACTTCACAACATACAACATATTCAACATGAATTAACCTTCACACCCAAGACAACCTTCAACTTATCCAAATCACTCCTTGTGAAATGACAACCTTTACATAAAATAACATATCGTGAGTTATATTACTCTTATCATGCTCATACTTATCTCATATGAAAGATAAGAAGATTTACTACAACTTCATGAAGACACCAAGTCCTAATTCCTTCATCTACCTTGTTAAAAATTCTAAAAGCCGCAACAGCTATAACCAATGCTGGCAGCTTGACCCCTCTTCACTAAAAGAGTCATATCTGGAGTTCTAGACCTCCTTTGGGGTGATTCCAACGCCATTGGAAAGCTAACATCCAAGACTACAACATTCATGAAGACTTAAAGACCAACATACTCACGCCCGACACATTAGTATCACGTTCGGCGCAAACTCAAACAGAGACTCACAAGAATCTCCACACTCGGCATGACTAGCCTCGTGCCCGGCGTGATTTAACACTGGTGGCCCCAGATGAATGCATGCCCGACGCCAAGAACTGAGCCTGGCGCATATTCAACCAGAAACCTCCAAAAACCTCAAAAATCCCTTCAAAACCTAAAAATCAGCAACTTCAACCACATGCAATCCATGAAATGCAACATATAGACTCCCTACAACTCAAAAATGAGTTCAAATTCAACATGCAACAAATCAATGCATCAAAATTGACAAAAACCCCATTTTCCCAAAAAATCCCATTTTCCCCAAAAACCCCAAAAATGAGGAAATCACCCGATTCAACCACTTCTTCTTGAATTCCATACATCAATGGAGTTCCTAAACTCCCATGCAACCAAACAACATACATTCTAGCTTCCCTTACTTGAAGATTGACTCCGAAAAACCAAGAATTTGGGAAGAAGAAAACTTTCCTTCGAGCTCGACTTTCGAACTTCAATCCTTCAAAATCAAGCTTCCTAGCCTGAATTCCAAGAGAAAACAGAAGAAGTTAGTGATCTAGAGAAGAAGAAGAATCAACCAGAGAAATTTGAGAGAGAAAGGAGATCACAGACCCAAAGTCTTTCTCTCTAAAACTTCTCTTTAGTTTCTTTGAGAATGAACTTATGAAGTTTCCTTCTTAGAGAAACCCTTATATACTCTTCTCTCTCTAGAGTCAACTAAACTCAAAAATCTCCTCACTACGTTACATTTTTCTTGTAAATATTTCTTTTATTTTGACCTTGTATTTTGGGTCAAATAGTATATGATTTTTGTCCTTGTATTGATATTATTTTGAGCGTGTAATTAGTAGTTTAGAGGAAATGTAACTAGCTAAAATCATGTGGGACTTATTAGAATTGGATGGACCAAGATCTTATTTGGGTCTTGGCTTGGATGTCCACTTGCACAAGAAAGTGGTTTAGATGTTCAAACCTTGCTAGACAAGCCATCCAAGTGGTTAATTTTGTTACATTGCTTTTGATAGTGATGTTTTAACAACTTGTTTTAGTAATCATTAGTTTGTTAGGTGTACTGATTATGTTAGGTAGTTGGAGTTAACTTAAGCTAACCTAGGTTATTCTTAAAATAGGATTAGATTAGTTTTCTTTATAAGCTTCTAGACATATAACTAGAGTTATTTAACTTAAGTATAAGATAACTAACCTTTGTTACATTTAACCAAGGTTAGTTTAGCTTACACCATAAGCCAACCAAACTTTATATATAGTTTATCCTTGCATATGACTTATCATTTTTTGATGTATATGAGAATAAACCTTTGAGTTTCTCTTTTAAAAATCTTAGTTCTCTTCCTTGGAGAAATCTCTCCTTAAGATTTTTATCAAGGAATTCCTACTTGTAACAAGATCAACACTTCTTTCTTATCTTTCTCGCTAGAAAGTGGCACATCCTTTTCTAACCTTTTCCACCATTTTTGGTTTTTTCTAAAGCTTGTTCTTCCATGATACAAGACTAGGCACAACAAGGAGACTAGTGGAGGGAATCACCAATCGTCACTCAAATGGTTTTCATCATATTTGGTACCATGAGCTTTGGTTCTTCCATGGAGGTGTTCTCTAAATTTTTCATGTCTTGTGTTATCTTCTTATATGTCTAGTAGTGATTGTTGCTTAGATATAAATTTTTGTGTTAAGTCAGACGAAGTGCATTCGCAATTCCCACCAAGGTTTTGAATATGACAAATATAATACATATTGTTATTACTAACATGTGCATTAGTATTTCAGTCAGATAACGAAAAGTCCAAACAGTGGAATATGTTCAAGCATAATCTGACTAGACAAAATATCAGACGATAGAAAGGCCAGCATCAAGGTTAAGGCTGATTCAGACTCAAATTAGATACAAAGTCTATCAAATAGAAGCCTGAGGCATCAGATGCAAATTGGTCAATATACTGACATTAATGGCCAAGGCATCAACATGAAGTGACCATCAGGAAGAATCAATATAAAAGACGAAGTTATCACTTCCACACTCAGACGAAAAGAGGCGTCAAGATCAGATGTAGCATCTTGTAACCAGACGATGTCGAGAATGCTGAAGCACGTATGGAGTCCACTAATCACATTGAAAGGAATTATACAAGAAACACAAGAGGACATATTCGAAAAAAAATTTGTCCAAAGCATGCATCCACAAGTCAAAGCTGAGTGCGTTAGAGAAAGGACACCTACTTTTCAGAAAAAGACAGCACCACAGCAGCTAAACTGATGGAAAAAGTACAAATATACCTAGATCATGATCGAAGTCAGATATCAAAGAAATCAACTGCACAGAGAAGCTCCACAAATACAAGTAAACATTTAATGCAAGATTAAATGCATTAAATGAGAAGATTTGCATGAATATGAATGAAGCCTCCATCTGCAACGACACAAGCCTATGCTCTAACGGAAAAATTCAAAAGCAAAGGGAAGATTTATCAAAAGGTGTATAAGTATCAAGGAAAAGAAGAAGAAGAGTGAAATATAGAGAAGTTGAGAAAAACGTACAATACGAAAAAGAAAATCAAGAGCATAAACTATCCTTTTCTTCTCAAAGAAATTCCTGTATATTTGTGTAAAAACTAAGATATATAGCTTATCTTAGTGAGTGTTGCCAATAATTCATCCTCTCTACGAGAGTAACCAAACACTCAGACAACTATCTCAGAAAAACTAAGGTTACGCACCTTAGTGAGTGTATAAACTTTCCAATCCTCTTTGTGAGAGTAATACACACACTCAAAACCCACAACTACTGTAAAGCCTGAAGAGGCTGGTAGAAAGAATACTTGTGAACCACTAGCATTGGTGAGTGAAGTCGACGGGCCAGAAGTGGTCGAGAGTACTTGTAGAACCAGAAGTGGTTAAGAATACTAGCGTCTAGTCGACGAGCCAGAAGTGGCTGAGAATACTTGTAATCCTCTGTGATTAGTGGAACCTTTCTGCGAAAGGAAACTGGACGTAGCTCAGATTGAGGGAACCAATATAATTGTCTGTGTATTCTCTTTAATTTTTAGCATCACATACTTTGCACCTGATTTACTTCGTTTTTCAACAAAGCCTTGGACGAAAACTTATTTGATCGTGTTGAAACTATTCTTCCAGACGATAACGTTTTCTAGACTGAAAACCAGTTTACTTCATCTTCTACGTTGAAAATTAGTTTTGTTAAAATAAAAGTCACTAGACGAAGATTCTAATTAAGATTGCTAATAGTACTCTTGCGAAAACGTTTTCAAAAATTCCTTCGAATCCGAAACATACACATTCAACCCCCCATTCTGTGTGTATTTCTGCTAACCTCATTTTGCACATTATATGATAGATCTAATATGTCTTGAAATTTTTGGTTCAAAAGCATGTTAACCCAATCTATATGTTTTACCATAAGATTCTTGTTCTATAAGCTTTCCTTTATTTTTTTTTTATTGATGTCTATTATGTTGTTTGGAGCTTGAAAATAATTTGCATGGTATATGAGAGTGTATGAGTCATTTTTGGTTTGAAATATACAAACATGCTTGTTGGAGAAAAAGATATACACTAGAAGGGGTTGAATAGTATTTATCAAAAACTCGAGCTTTTGTAGTGAGGTAGTGAAAAACGCAAACAGATGAAGTACTGGAAGGTGATCAAAAGAGCTACTAAAACAAACAAAATGACACGTGTTTTATATTGGTTCGTCTCCAACCTAGAGACTAAGTCCAGTTCTAAATCTAACAAGATTGAGCTTCACTATCTTGTACAAAATACAAGTATTCTTTCACAAGCCACTTCTAGCTCAACACCAAGTATTATTTACAAGCCACTCCTGGCTAAACACCATGTATTCTTTACAAGCCACTCGTGGCTAAACCCCAAGTATTCTTTACAAGCAACTCCTGGCTAAATCACGAGTATTCTTTAACATAAGCTTCTCTAGGCTCAACCCTTACAACTACAATTGATAAGAGTTACAAGAATAACTTCATCACTTTTAGACGTGATGCTATAAAAATTAAGTACACGTGGTCTACAAAGAACTTTATACAATTTCTGCTATAAAAATTCTTCTTTGTAGAGCTTCAGCTTCATATCTCTCACTACGTGAGTTTGCTCTTGATGTGTTGCTTTTTATTTTTAGCATTTTCCTTCTTGTCTTGTTTGCACACTCTTCTTACTTCATATTATGCCCATCCTTATTCATATTGTGCATTCTCTCTTGTTTATTGTTTGAAGGCATGTCCCTTAAATAGTAACTTTAGAGAAGATGATCGTTACAACAATGTTTAAATTTCTTCATATGTTGCTTCTTTTGTCTTCTTTGCTAACCATAAGGATTACCGTTGATTAAATGTTAATTAGAGATGCATTTGTCCCATATCTGATCTAGGTAGCTACTAATCATCATTTTCTCCCATTTTGAGTGTAGCATGGAAGTGTTAATGTAGCGTAGTTCGGGCTGGTGTAGAGTAGTCTTTTTCAGTGTCTTGTCCATGATATCTGAGATTTTCTCTTTTTATCTTGACACAATGATTTGACATTTCCTTTTGAAAACTCTTGTTATTTTCGAGGAAGCTTTCCATTCGATTTATTAAGGAATAAAATATTAATGCTTCTCAAGGAATAGTTTGACATTTTAACAAGAAATAATATAGCATTAATGCATATCATGCACTTCGTTTGGTGCACTTAGTCTTATAGACGAAATATGACATCTACCTCGTCGGAAATAGCTTTTTTTAAGAAAGACTTATAACTTCTTGTTTTTGTCATAGAAGGTGTTTTATAAAAGCTCTAAACTTTTTAGAAAATTGTTTGTTATCATAACAACCTCGAGGGATTCAAGATTATCTTTTGATTCTTCATACTTCCTTTTTGATCTTACAATGTTTATGTCTTAAAAGTCTTATTTAGTCCTTGCTTTGTCATTACTTCTTGTAGTCCTTTTAATTTTTGAATCTTGAAAGTATGTGTTAATGTTACTAGCCGAATAGTATAATGTCCTTTTTCGTTATAATCTTTGAGTTCATATATGTTATTAGATCATTAACATGTTCCTTGTAGAGTCAGGTTTCCATTGTAAAGTAGTTTTGATTTTTTTCTTATTTCCTTGATTTTTTTTTATTCAAATTGATTGAAAACGTTGGTGAAACAATATAAACTCCTTGGGCTGTAAAAAAATCACATATGAACTATCTCTTAGATGTTCAAATTTTTTAAAAATCAAAGGGCTAACTGAAAACAAGAGTAGTAATCAAACTTTTACCAATTTTGGAGTGTTTTTGAAATTTTTCTGCTTCTAAGTTTTTTGTGATTTTGTGTTCTTGTTTTGGAACATTTTGTGACATAGTGTAGTACCTAAAACAAAATCAAATATTCATGAAATAACTCTAAAAGAAAATAAAACAAAGGTGTACAAAATTATAGGAAAAAACTTACAAAAGAAAAATAAATAGAAAAAAAATGTGATAAAAAAATATGTGGAGTATTTTGTTAAAAGTATTACAAAAATATTAGTCACGTTTCATGTCATTTTGATTTGTATTTAATTTGGAAGTGGATTTGAGTCTTCATTGAATTGGTCGTCTTAATCTAAAACCTACATAGGATTAATCTTTTGTTGTCTTAACTTCTAAATTATGTTTTATTTTGTTGGTTGTCAAATTTCTTGATATTCTTTCTAATTTTGTCAACATTGATTTCATATGAGTTTAGCTTATTTTTAATTGTGCATTTTTAGTTTGTTTTCACTACGTTTTGGTTTGCTTTTTCTTGTGTGAAGGTAAACAAAGCCCTTATATAAGGTAGTATCTTGTAATTTGAATGAAGGCCAAGGAGATTTGACTCCTTTAAAGTAGCTATCATTTGGAAGGATGTTTTTTAGGGAAACATTTGAAGTGGAGAGAAAACAAACAAATACTAGAGATCTTTTACACTAATGATTTTGTTCATTATATAGGAAAATTTGAAGATTGAAGACTTATTTGCAAATTTTTATTTTTGGTTTTTATTTTTATTTGTGTAATTCTTTTGAATTGTAAGTTCTTTTGTTGTAAGAGGTTTTCCAGTGCCTACTCAAAACTTTCATTTATAAAAAAATTTAAGTACTTTTGTTTAGTACTAGTGCAAATGTGTTGAGAGACTCTTAAGTGTCTACCCAAACTTTGACCTAGGAACATGACTAGGTACATGCTTTATTTCTTTCTTTTAATTTTTGTTAAACGTTAGAGTGTCTAAGAGTTTCCAAAGACTTCTTAAAACACATTAAGTTGCATTTTGTGTAGTATTAGGAAAATTCTTTTCAAAATACTAAAATCAACTTGCATCATGTCTAAGAACACTTTACACACTTTCCAATGTGATAATGACTATAGTTCAACTCTAAACCTTTTGAAACTTAAGCATGAACTAAAGATTTGGAAGAAAGAGGAAGAGAAAATAAATCAGAAAATAAAGCTTTGAAGATTAAGCTTCTACAAGAGAATAAAGTATATAGAAAGAATACAATAACTTTTACTTAAAAAGAAAAACAAAATGATGGAGAAGGCATGGAGAAGTGATTGAAGGTTCTTCTCCTAGCTTTTTCCAAGTCCACACGAACTTCTTTGAGGCTCCAAAGTGATGGAGGACCATCCTTGGAACTTCATGTGGAACCTATCACTAGGTCCATGGCTAGGAGGTTGGAAGAGGATAGGGGAGCTAACACCCCTAGAGACATGCTTCTCATGTCTAAAAAATATCAATCTTTCTCCTAAACCTTGTTAGCATAGAATTTATTTTTATGCCTATTTTACCTTTGTCTTTAATTTCCCATTTTTACCCTTGTATTTTGGGTAACTTAGACATAGGATTTATTTTACTTGTATTTTCCATTTTACCCTTGTATTTTGGGGTGCCTTAGTCATAGGATTTATTTTTACTTGTATTTCCCATTTTATCCTTGTATTATGGGGTGCCTTAGATTATAGGATTTTATTTTATAGTTAGGGTATTTTATTAGGGTTAGAAAAAAGGCCTAGACGTATGTTTTTGGTAGCATTGGATTTGTTTTTGGACTTGGCAAGGCTTAGGCCCAAGTGGAAGGCACCCAGAATGCATGGTCTTATCATGCACCGGGATGTAGCCTAACCAAACCCAAAGATTCCATCCTTGGCCACCAAGTAGCATCTAGGGTTAGTTTAGGTTTCATTTGAAGTGCGTTTGGTTTGCATTTTTCGTCCAAACACTCTCAAATGCAACCCTAAATGCTTCCTTCCCTATAAATACCCTAGACCATGCATCTTGTAAATATTTTGGAAATTAATATATTGAGAGAGCCTTTGTGCCTTGATATTTTCCTTAGTCACCCTTGGATATTTTTGACCAAACCCTACCTATCTCCACTTTGAGAGAAAAACCCTAGAAGTGACCTTCAACTACCTTAGAGTGAGCCAAACCTAAAGTACCCCCTCTCAAACCTTTCATCAAACACTTCATCCCTACTTCCATTTCCGCCAATCCCTCCATCAAAAACGCCCTTGAGGAGCTATGATCCAAGGATTCTAAGGTGTCCCTTGCCATTGAGTGTCATCTCTTCATCAATGCAAGCAAGGATGCCATCTGAAAGGATGAATGTGAATCCAGAATTTGATGTAGAAACAGCTGAACCGTGGCTGGTCTTGTCTTCCTAGTGA